ATCTTCAAAATGTAATGCAACATGCTAAGGCCTTATCTGATGCAGCAAAGATATATTTAATTCTTCAGCAAAGGTTTACAGTAAACTGCTTTTGTTTGGAACAAACATGTGAGTCAAAATACAAAGAGCTGCAAAGCATCCCAATAGCAACTGAAAACATTATTGAAGCTTAATTGAAACCCAGCTCCTGTCCAGAAACATGAGACATCTTTGTAAATTTTGTAGTTGAAACCATTCATAACCTTTTGCTAAAGCAGACTGACATGGCTGACTCAGTCAACTTTAGATAGATGTTTACTCACATTTTGTGACAATTCCTTCCACACATACCATAGTACCAAGAAACCTTGACGAAAGTGTTCTAGGAGTTACATGTTTTGCTCCAAAACTGAAGAATAAATAAAAAGCATGTTCAATGTGATAAGGCCTTGTTAATAAAGCTAGAATCAAATTCACAATGCAAGCTAGCAAGTATTTATACAACAAAACAGCAAAATCCAAGGTTTATTGGTTCAAATCCCAGCGAGGTCAGAAATTTTTTTTTCCGAATTTATTTCCAGGGGTCTTTCTCCTGGAATAACCTCCTTCTTAGCACTATAACTTTCCTTTATTTCTATATCATGTATCTCATAGTGCCATGTGGTCCTTGCATTCGTGTCTCAACAACAAAAGCAGGCTTGACAAAAGGAGTAAAAGACTTTACAAAAAACAGAGGTACTGACTATAATACATTCCACAACTTCCATTTTCTTACCTTCCTTCAAATCCAATAAAGAAATCTTCATGTTTTTTCCCATAGATTGTGTCAATTGAACTGACAAATTCCTTCAAGGCATTCTGATACATACAAAAAAAATATTTTGAATACTGATTGACAATCATCATAAAACACCATTTTACATTTCCCAGGGAAATCTTGAAAGGTAACCGAGGTTTTGCATCAATGCAAGAAAATGTCTGAGCTTGCTATACACGGCTTTCAAAAATGGCAGTAGTTCACGACCATCAACATTAAGGGACTAGTGACGAATCATTGAAATGAGACCTCAAAGGCCTTTCCTCTACATCCTCGCTACCTCCTCGCATGTGTGGAAGTGTCAAAGTTTGAAAAATGTATTGGTATGTTATTTATAACAAAACACTCTTGCAAAACACTATGAAAGTTAACTATACGGAGGCCAGTCTTTGAGACTCTCTTTAGTGCTTCATCCCCAGTGCCCTGGTTGGTGACCATGACATATTGCCCATTTTTAAAAGTTGTGAATAATACACTTCTGAATGTTGTCCTATGTATCTATCAATCATTGAACTCTTTCACTTTGATGCAGAGACACAGTTATCCTTTCAAGAAGGCGCTGGGAACAGTAAATTGGAGCATTGCTTAAACAYTACAATAATATCAATAATATATTATTTAATCTAATGAAAACGTTTTCTGGCTCACCTGGAATGCTAGTAGCTCTTCAAAGCCCTTGTTCAGCAATCTGAGGATAAAAATACCTTGTCTTAGTATAATAAGCCAATGGATTTCATTATAAGGGGCAATAAAAAGAGAGTAAATGTCTAGAGAAGCTGGCATGCATACTTACAAATTTGCTCTTTTCTCATTTTTTCGTCTCAAGTCATTGACATTGACCAGTAAACGGTACTCATTTCTTGTTATCATATCCCGGACCTTCCCATGATAAACACCTTGGTCCTCCTGAAACAACAATCCAATAGATTGGACTTCGTGACGTCACAYGTCATGTCGTTGTACAAGATGTACACAACAAATGGTTCATTTTTCCTCGATCAGAATACAATTTTATCGGATTCGTTTAGAAATTATTTTCATAGGCAACTCTGCTCTTCACGCAATTTGCTAAGAGCTATGAAATAAAACGAAGAGGTCAACGTTCATCGAAACCTTTGCACAACGATCGGGCAACAACGCGACGATAAAATTCAACAATCAAAGTTCTTATAGCTAAAATTTAGCAAAACTCAACATATTTGACACAATGGTGGAACAACTGTCAAGGATGTTTCTRCTATGAAATACGATAACAGCCAAAACGTCAAAATTTAGAAAGGAAAAATCATGAAAARTTGTCATTTTGATTCAATGCATGCTTCACCATGTGCAAAGAAACATCGATAATTATTCGGCATRATTCTTTGTTTCTTTACTTACATCATCATCAAGAAAGTCAAGATACTCTCTTTGAATCCCTCGAATGTATTGCTCGTTCTCTAAAGCCATAATTTCAACAAATTTACGAAGAAACCGACAGAAGAAACTCAGCTCGACTCGGTCTAAGCACTGCTGATTTCCCACGTGATCTGATTTTCGCGCCAAATACTTGATCTTCTCTCCGATTTGCTAACGATCACTTAACGAAGAATAAACATCTTTCGGAAAACGTTCGTACTATTTCCGTTCATTTCCGTAGGTATGCTGTACGTACTTTCAAGATGGCGGGCGAGAAGGTACTGAAAAACATATCAGGAGTTTATTGCCGCTTATTTGACCACAGGCCGATCATTCAAAGTGAATGCAAATACTTTGTAAGGGAATTTGAAGGGAAAAGGAATGACCGAGAAGTAGAAAGACTGAATGAATCTCTACAGAAAGTACGGCAAATTGAGGAAGAAATCCCAAAATGTGTCGAAAAGGCAAATCAGTTTGAAGAACTAAAACAGCAGCTTAGAGCAGCAAGACAAAGTTGTCATGATATCCTCGTAAAAGAAGAAGAAGACCTTCAACACGAAAGACGAGAACAAATTAAGGAAGATGCTAAAAAGGACTGGGAAAAATTTCAACTGGAAATGAATGAAGAAGAAGAGAAAATAAGAAAAGAATTTGAACAAGAAGCTGAAAAATTGAGGGAAAAATACGGGGTCAAACAAGCAACGATTCATTAATTAATGTAAAAACTAAGAAGAGGTCTGGGTGATGACTGTAGTATTAATTCCTATAGCAATTTTTAATCGAACAATCGAAAATKAATATACCTAGAATATATATTTACTGTCGAATGAGATTTTAGTCAGCTACATCACATTGTGAGGGAGGGGAGAGGAGTAGGGGGGAGGGGGTCAATGGGGCTCTTGAACACTGCAAAGTTGGAAAAATTTCCTTGATCTACCCACCAGCAAACACCAAACATAACGTTGATTGCAGACAAAAAGCTTTGAGCAGTAAGCATGCCGGTGCAGAATAGTTAAAATTTGGTAGGCTAATGACAGTGATGCAGACAGCCGTTTTTTGCTGGTTTCAAAATCCTTCCTTGCAACTGTGGAGATGAGGTAAAAACACTCTGCTCTCATTGATTAAACACCATCAGTACATTTTGTTGATTATAAGCCTAGGTTGTTTGTTTCTGTTTGTTTTTGCACAAAAATGAATTCCTACCAGTGAAAGTATCAATTATTGAGCAAGCACGAAAAATAATGGGCTTATGGTTTTAGGTGAAGTTTATGTGTATGTGACATCAGCTCAAACATGTATGGACACATTTAAAGGGACACAGTTATGGCATACTGTCATCTAGAGTACAGACATTCCTTACAGTTTGTTTACACCTGTTTTCTCCAGTGTGGGTGACAAAAATTCAAAACGAGAAAAACGCAACTGACTTGTGGAATTACTCTCTTTTTCGAGACTCAAGACCTTAATTTGATGGCACAACTTTTGCCTCCAGCCATCTCATGCAACCTGCTTATGGCATCCTTGCAACAGCTGTCATAGGGGCCTTTATGAATATTAGGCACCTTATTCTTCGTACTAATTTTTGTGAGCACTTAATTTAAGTTGGGACACAAAATTAAAGCCTAACAAAAACTAGTACGGATAAAGTAATTGCTTAAACATAACTCCAAAGCAAAAACTCACWTGAGCTTGGTATAGATTGATAATTTTAAGCAATATTTTATTTCAGAATATTACATAAAAATGATACAAATCTAAATGATGTAAGACATCTTCAAGATAAAATTAATACTAACTAAAAAAAAATAAACTTGCCGTTGTTCTTATAATCCTGTGAATCACAATGTATTTATTAAAATATTACCCAGCAGTGAGCAGAGGATTTTTTGACCTGCAGAGAAGCAGGAAAAGAAAGGGTTCGAAAATCCTGTGCTCATAGAAAAAAAATATACAAGAGAATTATAGACAAGGATTTAGAGGGTAAAATGTAGGTGTGTTTCACAGGTTCATAAAAACACTCTTAAAAAGGTTTCACCTCTACATGAAAAAAAATCTAAATATAGTATTTTACAAACAGACTAAAAACCTATCTACTTTTAATATGTACAATATATACAGTAAATACTATTTACATAAGGATCTATACTCAAGGACCAGCCTCAAGCATGTTTTAAGACCATGATTATAGTCTTTTTGCCMAGACTTTATTTTGCTTGCTTCCAACAACTTGTTCCATTCCCTTYTTTCTTTGTCGTGTTCTCTTTTCTTTCCTGTCTTGCGGTGCATCAAGCCCTCTGCATTTGTTCTCCTTATGGGAATTTATGTCTCTTAARCAATTMACACAATATTTAAATTCACATCTCTGACATTGACAGAAGCCTTTATGTACAATAACTCTGGATGGCGAAGAGCAGTTAGGACAAGGCCTATAGGTTTCTGTTAGTGGAGTTCTTTGCAAAGATTCAGGTGTTTGTAGGGTTTTAGATRACATATGACTTTTTGATGTAACTTGGGAGATAGATGATTCTCTGTTCACATCAATGCTCAGTAATGGTGTTCTTGTAAAATTACTTGGCGATGGATCTTTGAAGCCAGCACTTGGGGAACCCTTGTTTTCCTGCAATAGAGAATACATTTTAGACAGCTCAGACACAAATTAATAAAAGATCAGCATAATTAAAGAACAAAGGCATTGCAATCTGTTCAATTGGAGGCTTTTTTGCATGATATAAATTGCATTCAGCAATGGTCCCAAAACTTCCTGTTTCAATAGTCATTGTAAGAATGCACTATCATGTAGCATAATTAAAGAACAAAGGCATTGCAATCTATTCAATTTGGAGGCTTGTTTGCATGCTATAAATTGCATTCAGCAATGGCCCGAAAACTTCCTGTTTCAATAGCCATTGTAAGAATGCAATATCAGCATAATTAAAGAACAAAGGCATTGCAATCTATTCAATTTGGAGGCTTGTTTGCATTCTATAAATTACATTCAGCAATTGCCCAAAAACTTCCTGTTTCTATAGCCATTGTAAGAATGCACTATCAGCATAATTAAAGAACAAAGGCAAGCATGCCACCTACTCAATGTATTATGCTTGTTTGCATATGAATGCATGTTGCATAAGCAATGATATTGAACAATGCATGTTTGCATTTCATACACAACACACAAAATAAACCTAATGTAAACAAACTCTATAAATAATCTATATAACATGTTTGAGGTCTTATTTACAAAACGTTCAGGTAACTTTATTTCACGTTTGATTTCACGCTGATTTCGACTTTTCGAAACTTGTGTTCAGGTTTAAGAAAACTCACCTTGCCCTTTTGAACACAGTGCTGCTTTCTTTGTTTGATAAATGTTTTCCAACGATCATGTAACGGTGAACTTGTATTTCGGACAAAATTTCTCCACTTTTTAGATATAGAAGCAAACCTAAATCAAAACAAAATACAAAATAAGTCAAAGGGTATTCACCATGRTCGCTGATATCGTTTAGTTCACTTGCGCACAACGGAAATATTTCAGGCTTAAATTGTGAGTTTTGTAAGTTTATATACTAACCTGCACAGATCTGAATCATCAAGAAAGCCACAAATAGTTTTAACAATCTGTTCGCAATTTAAATCCAATAATTCAGCAATGAAATCAACCTTGGTTCTTCCGATCATCTGTCCAATTATTTTGTTAGCATGCAGCAACGATGAGCGCTTTGGGCTCTGATCGATCCTTGTAGGCTCTGATCCATCATCATTAAAGACTAGTTCAACCTTTAGTGGATCATGTTTAGTGGGGATCGCAAAATTTGGCACATTTCCCCTTTCAAGTGATGGTGGAGGGCTGAGAAACACAGACGAAGACCGATCCAACGTCGGAGTAACACGACCGAAATTACTTGGCTTTTCTTCGCTGTCTGGCGTAAGAAAACAGCTTGGAAGACTTGAGAATTGCTTCATTGTATGTTCAGATATCTGATTTCGGGTAATATTTCTTGAATTCATGGCAATCGAGGAGCTTTCTTTCATGAACTGAACGATACTCTCAAGACCACATTGTTTGATGTCGTCTTTTTTYGAGTTGGCCGCCAAAGCGAAATGAACCAATCATAAACGAGTATTCAAAATCCGCCCGCCAAAATAAACCCACAGGGAGCCCGTCATAACGGAAATACAAAGGAATCCCAACTGAATGTTTTGTTCCTCTTTTTCAGCTGTTTTTATTATTTTATTTTGTGCTAACAACTAGAAATCTAAACTTTTCAAACAGATATTGAATGATCGTAACTCAAATGTCACATACAACTTTGAGAGATTATTCTGAAAAGTAGTTTTCTTCAATCTCAAACTTTTGGCAATGTTTGTCTTCAATCGGGAACATTTCAAGCTGAGCTACATAAGCCACAGGGGAAAGCTGTACCATTTAAGCTTAATTCCCATTTTAATCCTTTATTTTGTTTGTTTGTTGTTTTTTTTTTCAGGTTAAGTAGATTTTTAAAATTAAATTAAAATTAAATTTAAAATTTAAACATTTAAAATTAAATTAATTAAAATTAAAATGTCAGATTAGCATTTCTATCTTTAYCTCTTAAAATCTCCACTTCATTCTTACTTCAAACACAATGACGCAATCTCCGAGTTAAAAATTAACCACACAATGATTTCACATTGAAGAGAACTTTATTTCAAATAAACAAAATGTGTCACATCCGGTAGTTGAAAGAACGGGAACAGAAAAGAAAAAAAAAAAAGAAAGTCAAATCCTTGTTTACGTCAGTTCATCATCTACACTTGTTTCACTTCTGTCCTTCACCGGCCATGGCATCCTTAGCTTGATGTGCCTTCAGAACATTWACAGCCTCATCTACCTTWGCATTCAGGGCCTCACGGGACTCCAACATGTGCAACAACTCTGCATTGTCGATTTCTAACAACATGCCAGTGATTTTACCAGCGAGTTCTGGATGAGTCTGCTGAATGAGGGGGAAGAGGCGCTCTCCAAGCATCTGCTTTGCTTCTTGTGGAGGGGCTGTAGCAAGGGCTGTAGGGAGAAGAGGTTCTTGACCCTAAAACAGAATAAAACAGTAAATCAACTTTTGGTGGGCTATATTGACTTATCTTTAAAAAATGAAAAACAAGATTTGCTGTTTACTACAGACTTTAACATCAAAACAGCTTAGTAACTGCTGCATATTTTGGCAAGTAACACTATCATTATATGCAAAGTCATAGAAAACTAAAAAAGATTTGTTACAAAACTTTTTTTGTGACRCAATGCCATCTGTGAAGCATACAAGCTAGCAGCACATGGTACATAATATCAGAGGTACTGTAATATAATCAGATTTTTTGTCTTTTACAAGGCTCRAAATAATGGCCGGTCAAAGGACAATGTCCTTACAAATTCGCTAGTTGACCGGCCAAATCGGGTTTTGAAATKACAAATTGACTTGCCACAATTTTAGACAAATCAACTCTCAATTCACTAAACAAATATCTTTTACAAGCAATTAAAATGCTTGCTGATCTTTCTGAATACGAAACCCAAGAAATTAAAAGAAAATAATAGTATAATAAAGTTTTTGTCCTTTCAAAACTTGACATGACCTTTCAAAAATGAATTTGGAGGGACATATTGTCCTGCATATATCTGACTGTTATTTCAAGCCCTGTTTTATTTTAGCTCTCTAGAAAAAATTGCAATGCCACAGCTGAAAACTGAAATCTAATCCCCTGTCCTAACATTGWTGAAAAAGCTAGTAGTTCCACAAATGAAACACTTACAGGAATTTGGATGCTGTGTACTTGATCTCCAGGCATAGGGCCTGGTCCAGTGGGCTGATTGCGGGTTGCCTGWGTGAACTTAAATTGCTGTTGTTGCTGTCTAATCTGTGGTCCAGCTGGCATTCGTGGAGGTTGATTCATAGGGACATTCTGCATACGCTGTCCGCCTCCTTGCACACCTTGYGGCATACCAGACTGAGGTCCAACTCCCCTGGGTGCAACTTGGCGTACACCTCGAGCCCTTGGCACTGCTCCTGCACTAGGAACGTTGGGTACTCCAGGCCGCATTTGCTGTTGCTGTTGCATATTCCAGCGTGGACGAACCTGTTGCATTTGGGGACTGAAGAATGGGCGTGTTCCCTGGAACAAATTGAAAAGTCACTCTCATCATTAGAACTATTATAAGATTGCAATTAATGGAAATAAGCATCCAATTTTTTTAAATTCCTTTCAACTTCTGTTCAGAGAAAAGACATAACTCAACAGCACTTGAGCTTTGAACGGTCTTGCAATGCAATTTCTACGGCAAACTACTCCTGTATTTTCAAGTTTTCAAAAACTTTTCCAAATGACAAATACTAGAAGAGATGTTGAAGGATGGTTCCTGTAATTTAACTTGCTTCTTACCTGTTGAAGCTGGGGCATGTAGAAGCCTCCAGTCTGAGAGAAAATCTGTCCAACTTGTTGACCAGCAGCCTAGCACAAAATCAAAAAAAAAATTAGATTTACGAACACTTTGTTATAACTATAGATTGCACAGCATTTCTTTGTTGGAAATTAGAGACAGTAGTTGTTCCCCCTTTTCTCTCCCCATTAGCACAATACATGTGGTTTTGCCATTGTGAAATAAAAAATAAGTTTGCAATGTTTTAAACTGTACATTGTACAATCAGAAAACAAGTTATAATCAGTTTTATACCTGGTGCATACGCAATCCAGAAACACGCTGCATATGCTGTGCAGCCAGTTGGGCCTTTCTTTCCTCTTTGCGCTGTGCTAGGGCAACATACAGTGGCTTGGAGACAAGGATTCTTCCATTCATCTCTGTAACTGCCTTGGTGGCCTCTTCAGGAGATGAGAAACAAACAAATCCAAACCCTAGAAGAGGACGAATTCAACAGTTATAGAGTTTTAGTAAAATTAGTGAGAAATGTGAGAAATCTCAATCAAAGCCAAACAAGATTTAAATTTTTGGGGGTTCTTCCAGTTTTGAGGAAGCAATCAATTTGGAAAATTGTGGATTGATGGGCATTTAGCTCTCAATAACTCGCTGGTGGAAACTTGCTGTGAACTAGTGTGAGTTGCATACATGCATCAGTACTTTCAGAGAACAATGTGTCCACCATTTTGAAAAATGGGACTCGAATCACTACAATATAACTCCTAAAGGAATTAAAAGCTTCTCAGCTAATGTCAAGTTAATATACACCCTTTTAATAAGTCCCAAGGTATTGTGTTCTCCGCACTTGACGTTAAATTTATTCTTTTGAAATTTTTACAATACAAAAGGAATTCAAAAGAATAAATTTGACAGAGAGCACAATACATTGTAACTTATAAAAAGGGTGTATAATACGATATAATGATAGACTGGTTGACTTAGCAACTACGAAATGTGTTCTAAGGCACAACATGGGGGTTTGGTCTCACTTTTAAAAGATGGCGGACGCATTGTTCTGCGAAAGTACTGATTCATGTATTGGTGTTTCTAAAGAAACAGTTGTGCAAGAAATCAAATTTTATGTGAAACAACTTGCTTTTCTCACCTATACTTTTTTACGTTGTTAAAATTTAACTATATAAAAAGCAATTGCCTCCTTAGATTTTGTTACCTTTAGAATTGCCCTTATCATCTTTCATGACTTTAGCACTAGAGATTGTTCCATAAACAGCAAACTCTTCTCTCAACTGAACATCATCAATGTCGTCATCAAGGTTCTTGATGTAGAGGTTCACTCCTTGGAARCGGTTCAAACGCTCTTGTCTTTTCTTGTCAAACTCAGCTTTCACTTCTGCAGCTCTTTCAGCCTTCTTTTTTGCACGTCCGGCGTACATCCTGCGTCCACTATTGGTATCTTTGTTATTCAACAGGTCAACTGCCTGACATTGAAACAGATAATGAAACAACAGTGTTGATTAGACAATAAGAAAAATAATGACCATTATTCAACAGCAATATTTTTTATCATTACTTAAATTATTATTACGAACAATCATTATTATTGTTAGAGCAAACTCTCAAAGCTCCATGATTGACAGTTTGTCAATACCTCGTGACATAAAACTATCCTTTTGCAATGATTTTGTCCTTTTGTCTCATACATGCAGCAATATGACATCTGTATATACTTTCAGAATAAAAATATCAATATGTGATCAAAGTTTAACACATACCTTCTCAGCCTCATCAGGATTTTCAAAGCTAATAAAACCAAATCCTTTTCCCTTTCCACCATCGTCTGTCATTATCTTCAAACTCACAACCTTGCCTGCTTCACCACACAAGTCTTTCAGCATGTCTTCAGTCATTTCTTCACCAAAGTTTTTGATGTAGACATTTGTGAACTTCTTAGGCTGGTTACCCATTTTCTCTGCTCGTTCCTTCTTGGACATCCAGTGGGTTACGAAGCTGAAAATRAACAYAGTAAAGTTGTTTTAAGTATAAGTGATCTTCRCGAAATCACGAACGATAYGAAGAACTAATGTGTGGAGATCCCAATGGGCGTTGTCTAACTCGGCATTCATTGGATAATGGCCTGCACAYTTTTATGAACAGTTCTAAGAGTAGTAGAAATTTATAATTCATCCYTCAAACAAGGTCACTTGAGCTTGATGCAGCATATAAGCTTCTACTTTTATCCTATTWGTCGATATTTCACTTTTGGTGAGTTTGACAATAAGCTAATTTTCAAACTATCCTACTGGGAATAAAAGGCCGCCATTTTCTTTTCTTCCATTTCCTACATTCCAATTTCACTTTCCACATTCTTTTAGCATAATTTTCATTGGAACTGAACATTTCTCAGCCGWCCATGGCAAAATGAACAAAAGATAGGAAGTTTYGAAAGCAGTTTTGATGGGATGAAATTTGATCGACTGTGCATTTTTGAAATGCCAACCATGTTGTATATTTGACGTTAAAAATTAATGAAAGAGAACTACCCCTTATCCTTCCCATGCAAAACCATGGTTTTTACAGAGTATTTCAYKAGAATAAATGAAATAACTTACACTTTTTTGTCGTTCAGCAACATGCCATCCACCTTTTCGATGGCTTTCTCAGCATCTTCGCCGTGCTCGAAATGGACGAAGCCATACCCTTTTGGATTTCCAAGATCATCGACAGCTATCTTACAGGAGAGGATGTTCCCAAAAGCACTGAAGGTATCATAGAGAGACTTATTATCGATGCTCCTGTCCAAGTTCTTGATAAAGATGTTTCCTACACCTGACTTTCGAAGTGAGGGATCTCGCTGTTGCCACATGATCCTACATGGTCGGCCCTTGATCGGGTCGAAATTCATCGTATCAAGCGCTCTTTCGGCTGGAATTTTGAAACAAAGAGATATGTGAAGCAATGATTGAATATTKTTTGCTACATAAAAGCTACAAATCATTTCAGAATTCAAACAGAAGCGGCAGAATCACAGCGGCACTTTCGTGTTCGCGAGGCTGACTCACCGTTGCCCGGTTGTTGGAAGTTCACGTAAGCATAGCCCAAAGAACGTCTTGTAATCATATCACGGCAAACACGAATGGACAGAACAGGTCCAGCAGAGCTGAATTTCTCGTAAAGCATCGCTTCGGTTACATCTGGAGCTAAATCACCAACGTACAATGACGCCATAGGGTAGTTCGGTGGGCCAGCAGAGGTATTCATCTTGAAACTATGTAAGGTTACTTCTCTCTGAGTTTTCGTGTAAAAAGCTCTCTTTTTTCTGTCTTTGAAGAAACCAAAGAYTTGTTTTATACTTTTGTGATTTTTTTGTTTTGTTTTGTGAAGTTTTTTAGATTTTTTTTGGCGGTATTAGCGTTGAAAACAGCTAACAACCGCTTACAAATTCTCAAATTTGAAGCTCAAACGACTTCGGCCAGTAGTGGGAGGAAGTGTGACGAACAACCATGCTCTTATGTACAGCCGGGGGTACCGACAAATCCTCAGGGCCACCTTCTGATTGGTTCAAATGCACATCCGGTATGACGTAATGTCTAAGATGTGACGAACACACGTGTTTCCATTTGACAGGAGCGGTGGAAGGAAGCAAAAAAGTGACCTTTCCCTCGGAAARCCGGGAAAAATTAAGTATATCTAATATATGTCGTTTTCAGAGGCAATAAAYAACGTTATCCAAAAGTCACTGAAATGCTTTAACTTCAATTGGTCCAGTGATCAATAAATTCTAAAATCTCATTTCATTTATTTTTTCAAATTGTCAAACTTGGAATTCCATAATATATAATCACAAGATTTCACGAAAGATATGTATATTTATTATTCATTTTTTGTTGGCTCGTTTTTCAATATAACTGTTACTTATAGCAATCAACAAGGGGTGCTTGTTTTTGCTGGTTGTTCGGCAGGTATTCAAAATACATTGTAACAAAAAACCTGTAAGGTCCTGTTATTCAAACATTCTAGTCAAGATGTGTGAACTGGGAAAGACTGTGAATGACAAACAAACTCTAATGAAAAACTTTGAATCAAAAGTGATAATTTAGTGGCAGATCCACAACACCAGCACTGTTACAAAGGGACGCGGGAGGGAAGGGAGAGAGGGTAGCTAAATTGTGAAAAAAAATCAAATGGATGGAAATCTCTTTCAAGTATGAGCAAGTATTTTTGCTATTTTTCAAACTGAGTCATATTGAGAATTAACTTTTTTTCTTGTATGCATTTATATCACCATTTGTATTTCTAGATTTTTGAACCTTTAAAAGCAGGGGTGGCTAGCCATCCTGGATTTGCCTTTAATTATTAAACTGTGATATAAGATAATACACAGCCATAAAAAAAGTCTGACCACTAACACATAGCTGTCAAGGTTAGCCTTCGGACAATTGTGAAGTCTTAAGAGTTCCCTGTTTCACAAAGACCAAAAATATCTCATGGATAATTGTGACAGTTGACAAATGCTGGTAACAAAATCTAAGATCTTAGTCCTATTCCCATAAGCTGCCAAAAGCAATTTCCCAACTATACTTTAACTTAAGGTCCAACAAATTACCACAGGAAGTCCAAACCAAATTATGCTAATTAGCATATTATTCATGAATTGCCACACTTGGGTTCAGTGACTAGACCACAAAGAATTCAACCAAAGCATCAAGGAACACTGAGCACTGATATTTTCTTTTGCTCTGTGTACCTTGATGTCTTGGTTCAATGTTTTTGTTACTGGTCACTGAACCCAAGAATCAAATACCATGATTCTGGTCTAAATCTCCAAATATGGGTTGGTTGGTTGGTTGCTTCGTGTGTGTGTTGTAACTATGTGATTGTCCTCATAGTGATAGCGCCCTTATATACCACATAACTGACTCACATAAGCTGCATCCTTTGTAATTCAGCACTTGGGCTGCAAGGAAGGGCGATTAGCTATCACCAATTATTATTATTATAGTTCATTAATTTGCAATCTTATAGATTTCTAGCCTCCTTTAGCAACCACCACTTTGTTGCCAGGCAACGCTACTACCCATGGTGTGTTCTAAAGGATGGAAAAGTAAGAAAAAGTTATTTATTACTTCTGTTACTTCTGACTACTTACATCTGTTATTAAAAAATTAACCTAGAGAAAACTAGATATTTCAAATCTGTTAAATATTTATAAGCTAATTCAGAAAACTTTGAATACTGAATACTGCACAATGCAGTCCAAGCCTGCAATTCATTGCTGCAATTTAACTCCATGTTAGCTGTGTTAGGCCGCTGTGTTACTAAATGACAATCTTAACTTAATTGCGCTTCTATTGATTTTTTGTGACTGAACATAGCTGATAGAACAATCAACACTTGGAATCCACTATCTTCGAATCAGTACTCAACATTTTCTTAAATAGCTGTATAATAAATAAAATATAGTATTTATATAACAATTATGTATCACYACACCAAGTGCTTCAAAATAAACTAAAGCCACTTGAGTTAACTGGACTGATCAGAAGGTATTATTGTTAGAACTAGTAATACCAATAGTTGAGTGTACGATGATGTAGTTTGTTTACATCCAAAATATAAAATTGAAAATATAAGCAATCTGAACTTATATATTTCAAGATTATATTAATGTCAACAAAACCTGAAAATTTTAGGGCAAACGCCTTTTTACATTTCGAGAAATCAGCATTTCAAAACTACAAAATCTATAGAAAACATTGAGTGGTTGGCAAAATAATGCCAACCACGGTCATTGCTTTAGAAAATCTTGCAAATTCGGTGCTTGATATCTCTTGAAATATTTAACCAATTGCCTWCAAATTTKCARGAATTKTTAACWGGTATGAGTTCTTTTCATTTATGGGCTTGATTTTCTTGTGTCTTGAAATTCAATTTCTGACTTTTATGCAAATTAGCTAAAATGTAAACATTGGCGCCCACCTATTAACCAGTCAGAGCATAAAGCACAGACTATGGATGCAAGATGGCCCCAAGTCCATTATTTCATGTTCTCCTGTAGAAATTTGTTTTTGGCTTGAATCTGGCTCACTCAGCCTCAGAGAAGCAACAGTTGAAAATTGACCCAAAACTCACTTATGCCCAACAACATCAACTCTATAACTATCATGATTATGACCACTATAAAGTTAAAATAATGGTCAACATTACCGTTATAAAGAAAGGCTCAAGAAATACCATGAGGGGACCATGGACCATGAAAAGGAAGCCTGAAATAGAAAAGCTGCCAAAGATGATAAATTTTGGTATAGTTTTTCACTTGCCAATCTTATAACCAATAAATAACAATAATCCTTATTAATTATTAACATCCTCATGACATTTATGTGGAGCTTGCAGGAAAATTGGCAGCTTTTTGAGCTTGTTTTTCTTSRAGTTTTTTCCATGGATCTTCAACCATGGAATGCTTGTAATATGCTTCTATGCCCCTGTCTGGTCCTTGATTGAATCCACCACGTCCATATCTACCCTGAAARTTGAATRAAAGARCCWCATAGAAACACTGAATACAGAAGTAGAATTGCATGAYTGGGCATGTACTTGATTAGGCTGATTCCATAAGTCGTAGTATTCGCTCCACGATTTTTCGGTTTGTCGCTCAAACTAGCATCTGTCAGGGAGCAAAAAAATAGAGCGACCTGACAGACTGGTGGAATCAGTCTAGTACTTGATCAGATTCGGACGGGGACATAACTGCTGGTACCTCTAAATCCTTACCCTATTCAAGACAGCAAAAATCGTGAAATTCCATACCCTACCCAAAGACAAATTTGTTAAAATGTATAGACCCTATCGAAGACTTGAGGGTTGGTTGACATTAATAAATAAACCCAGGTAGTGTTTCCGTAAAAGATGTCAATATGTCGGTTTTTCTTTTCCACTCGGACTTTAAAGGCTCCTAGAAAATTTTAAAAATCGTCTCTTGAACAAGGTGGGGGAGGGGAGTGCCGATATTGTAGTAATTCTTATTATTTTCAGGCGGGCTTTCGAATGAAAAGTATTACAATTCATATGTCTTACCCGCGGCCCTCGACCTCTTCCACGGAATCCAAAGTCTGGTCTAAATCCTCTATATGGAGCTGGATGTCTACCACGTGAATAAAACCCCTGTCTTGGTTGGAAATACGGTCTTCCTGGGCCTTCAAAGTGATCCTGTCTCGGCCGACAGCCGTCGTTTGGAGGTGGCTGAAGTGGYGGAAATCTAGGATTTGGTCCTGCAAAACGTCCTCCCTGATTAGGTGGKAATCTAGGCCGCCAATGATTACTCATAATGAGTATTTAGAATACAAAAAGAGCACTATAAGGTCACTTGATTTACTTATTTTCAGTGCAAGCTATCTGTTTTGGCCGCCATCTTGAAAATTTGTTACCTGGCCTGCAGGYCGAAAGTTTGGACTGGAATCTACTTGCAACAGGAACCCCAACCTTTTTTTCGTTTTTATAAAAATTCCTAAAAAGCAAACAAACAGAGAAACATTGAAAAGATGCACAAGAAGGAAGCAAAGATGACGCGAATCGCAGTGGTTAAAACGCTGGTCGGCGGCGTTCGTGTTTGCAGTAGACTACTCTCCTCTGCAGCTGATCCATTCTTCAGTGTTTGTCGTTCAATGGACATGGGCGTTGGTTCTTTTAGTTTTACATCATTCTATTATTAATGCAGTGACGTGTAGAGAGATAAAGTCTACTACGCCTTCACGTCCTTGCCTAATCAAGGACAAAATGGGATCGTTAGTGACCAACATGGCGGGGTATATTGTTGTCAAACATACATCAGTACTTTAGGAGAACAATGCGTGCGCCATCTTGAAAAGTGGGACTCGAATCACTAAATTATAACTCCTAAAGGAATTAAAAGGTTCTTAGCTAATGTTAAGTTAATATAATACGATATAATGATAGATTAGTTGACTTAGCAACTACGAATTGTGTTCTAAGACACAACATAGTAATTCGGCGTCTCACTTTTCAAGATGGCGGACGCATTGTTCTCTGAAAATACTGATGCATGTATAGATTGGAGTGAGCCCTTGAGTGTACATTTGTTTGCCGGACTATTTAGTATGACTGTAAAAAGTGACAATCAGTTCCGTGAATGATAAGAAAGGTTTTTGGTAGAATTTTGAAATAGATCTGTTACATATTTGATAGAGTGGATTTCGTATGAGTGGGAAACGGACGGTACTGTACTGTGACCGTAATCGTACTGTAACCAAATTCTAGTGCCCCATTGGTTCACCAAAATTGTGCAGGCCAGGTBCGGTAACTGTGCGGTAACCGTGCGGTAACGTTGTCCCACTCATACGAAATCCGCTCTATAAGCTGAGGTGTGTGCAGAGTACTAGCGGTAGTGATTTTAAGTCACATTAAATAAAAGAAAACAATAAGATTTAAGAAAACAAAACAATGAGTATTGTTTTATTACTAAAATCACAAAGAAACCTTACAAACTCGTGGAGGATAACAGTACACAGATGGAGACACAGAATTTAAATAGTTTTGTTTGCGGAGTGACTGTGTTCGGAAATTGGGGAACAATAAATAATACTTAATGTATGTAATCAAAATTATGAAAAACTTAAATCCGGAACGCAATAAAGTCAATCTATTTCTGTATTCTGTTAAATATACMTTCCCCCATGAGTTTGCATTGTGATGTCGCCTGACGCCTCGGACATGCTCGGACTGAGACAATTGCGAAAACAAAGGAATTCACATACAGCTATTTCAAAAAACGTTGTCGGAGAGAACGGCGAACGGCGATTGTCAAAGGGACAATGCACGACCGAAAGGGACTATGGTTACACTGTTTTGATAAACAAAATTTCACTTATTGGATTCACCTTACATAGAAATAGAGACTAAATGGAGCCAATGTTTACCACAGACTATCTTACCGTACAAATCAGTTGTTATTGCCTTTCAACTAGCAAAAGCCATTGCTACTTTCGGTCGTGCAATCGCCGTTCGACAATTGACATTCGCCATTTTATCCGACAACCTTTTTTGAAATAGCTATATATTTCTGCCAACTGAGATTTAATTTCGAAAAAAAGTGTTTTGTGTGCCGTCATGCTCTAAATATTTGTTAAATTACTTTTTCTATTCTTKTATTATCTATTATCCGATCCATCAAAGTCGTGATTTTAAATAATAACAATAATAATAATGATGATGATGATGACATTTGATGAAGATGCGGTCAATGTAAAAATGTTCTTCAGCCGATAATTTATTCTCTGAAGACTTTCAATGTTTTTTCGTCTTTGTATCCTTTTATTTCAGTATAAACATTACCTGACCATAATCCATTTATTTATTGTTACATTTTATATCGAGGTATTACGATTCATTCTTCCCGCAATCCCACAATCGGTCGGCCCACGCACTAAACCACTTCTTTCCCCTGGTTAAAATTTATAATTTACTGCAAGTAGGTTGTAAATTGGTTATTGGTAGATTATAGGCGGCCGTGAGTCATCTCAATATACTATAGTGTTGTAAACGTTTAGCCGCAAAGGTGACAACAAGGTTCTAATCGAGTTGTCAGTAATGACCAAAGTATCTTATTATTTTTTGAATAGGCTACGAACATCATATCGCACCCTGCAGATTTTAGAAATTATGCCACTAGAGAATATTTCTCGTTATTTCKGAAAGCCCGCAAGTCAATTGTTCAAAAGGAGAAATATATTTTGATGGGTTTCTTTGGGTGGTCTAGGCAACAATGAAAACTTTACACAAAAAGCTTTTTTCCATCGGATTACCCTGTATGTTATTCARCAGCAATTTCATGTAGGTAATTAAAGGTCCGCGAAGAAACCATTCTCTGCCAATTTGCACTGGCAATAGCGTGTGTTTGTATTCACGTAGAAGTAGAATACGTTTGTATCCATATTTATGAARAATCGCACTGAATTAATATTTGGACCTGAAGTCCTGTTTTTGAAGAAGGCTATTAACTCTAATGATTTTTTTTTTTTTTTTTGAGAATTACTACACGAAAATTGTCCCTAATCGATTTCCACTAAAAATCGTATGGCTCGATGCTAATAATGCCTCGTTAAAAGCCTCATTTTCGCTTTACGCGAATTGAAATCCATTAAAATTCACACGGAGAATTGCTTGTGATCTGCAAGCAGTAATTGGCGAGGTAATGATKCTGGACACCATAATTTACATTTCAAATTAGCAACGAAGAAATTGATATAACAAGAGTATRTAAAGCTTATATGGTGATACACGCGGGAACGGCTGTTTTTGGCCAAGGATTTTGGCGGTGACATCTTGAAACATTGCGGCTAGCAGGTAGCCGACAATTTTTCGACAGCTCGGCCGTGGCGTTTTTTACCACAGTCTAAATTCCCATATTCTTGTTCTCTATACAATGGTTTAAATCACGAATGTTTTAAATTTAGGTTTAACAGGGCGGAGAAAAGCAAAGCGAACTGAATAATAAAACTCAAGCGATGCGACACATTTCAGATATAMTACAGGCGCTTTTTTATCCACCCGCTTAAGTTGTAAATTATCGACAAACTGTTTCATCCTTTGAGCCAATCAGAATCCAGCCCGAAAAACAATACCAATTTCGTCTGTGTTGCCAAACAAACGTTAAGCCTGTGTATGATGATATGTGACTAACCGAAAGCATTAAGAGACGGTCCCCAAAAAACAACAAGAAAAATGGATCRTTAACTGACAGATGATGCAAAAATGAGACAGCAGAACTTACGGACGATATTTTTAACTATTTGTTGTTTATCGTACCTTCTTGTCGGCGCCGCGATATTCAGCGCGTTGGAATACGACGAGGACCAAGTACGAAGACATGATTTGAAACTACATCGAGAAWTTCTTATGCAAAAATACAACATAAGTAAGGCAGATATTAAAGTGTGGGAATCGTTTTTACTAGCCAAGGCCAATGTCGAAGCTAATCTATATCAATGGAGTTTTGCTGGTTCGGTATAYTTCGCCACAACGGTCATTACTACAATAGGTAAGAATATGAATTTTTTCAAGCTCTCACTGTATCTTAGTAAATTATATTCAATGGGATTGGATACAGAATCGTAAGGCAATTAATAGTCTGGATTAAATTGTGACTTATATATTGAAAGATTATTTGCCCAAATGATTACAATGTTCCAGATGAATTTTACACTTGTTATGTACAAAAAGAAATRTGATTCMTTGAGTCTAAAATACTTGACGCGATTCCCAATGCATTGGTCCACAATCGTGCCAATATATTTCCCGACCGTRGRACTTTCAATTTTTATTTGCACTTTGAATTTTGCRTTTCGAAAATGGGTATTTCCGGTTGTCGYATCCCCCACAAGCAGTGAGCGAACGTTAACAAGGGCATGATAGTCTTAAGAGTTATTAACAAGTCCTCTATTCTATAGGATATGGACATACAGTTCCAAAAACTCAAAGAGGGAAGATATTTTGCATGCTCTACGCAGCGGTTGGGATACCGTTGGCTCTCACGATGTTTCAATCTATTGGAGAGCGACTCAACTCTTTCTTAGCCTCAATGTTCAGACGATTGAAACGAAAAATGGGCAAGAATGATAAAGATGTTTCAAGCACAACTAACTTGGTTGTAATCTGTGGGTTGCTTTCGATGGCAATCACAGTTTCGTCAGGTGCATTCATATATCGTTAYTACGAGAAGTGGGACTATTTTGACTCTCTTTACTACTGCTTTATTACTGTCACWACTATTGGCTTTGGAGACTACGTCGCTCTTCAAGACCCTATAGACCATAGATATGATAATACATACGTTGGAATATCATTACTGTTTATATTTTTCGGTCTTACGATAGTAGGTTCTGTTATGAACCAGTTGGCTTTAAGACTGCTAACTGCAAGTCAAACGAAAGAACCCGTGGAGAACTTAGTTCACGGCGGGCCGCGGTGCGAGCGATGTTCAATCAAGTCAACGCAAGAGCAGTTTGACTGCTGTGATCAACCATCGGACTATTCTACCACATTACTAAGAAATTATGAAGATGAAATTACTTTCACGACTTATAAGGAACCTGTGTAYACGGGCGCTGACAAGAAGCGAGCTTCAGTTTGAATATTCATCGTACGATTTCTTTTTGGGATAGCTCTGCTTTCCCGCGTAATGAAAACATGACGTTCGTCGGCGAGGAGAGTGATTGAGCCGAGATGTCACCGAAGATGAACGCGAAAGTTGGTGGTAATTCTGAATTTGTTCAAACAGCGTAAAACAGGAGCGAATTTAATTTRTAACGGTTAACACAACGACAGAGATTACCTCAAAATACTGAGAGAAAAACAAGAAATTATTCTAATACTAAATTATCRAGAGCCAAACGTCTTTTCCTTCAGAAAAAGCCGATATTTGGCTTAGTGGATATGATCCATTGTGGGGATATTAAGATTGGAGCGAATAGTAGCCACACTGCCACCTGTAAGCCTTCTGAAATATTTATTAACGAGAACAATGTTTTATTCAGAGTGTTTTGCAAACCTTTTTTCGTTTTTATTTCCATGGCGTCGTCTTCTCGTCAAATTACAAAAAATACTTGTCACTTAAAAAGCCTAGAATTAATCTAACGTTAAAAAATTAGAAAGAGAAAGAATGACGTCACTATTTAAGTGGAAAAATTAGAACGGTTGAGCGTTGAATCATCCCACCGACCAGAATTATTTATGAAGCGTCGCTTTAGTACCATTGTCAATATCAGCTCACTAAGATATTATAAATTCGCCATTTTCATACAGCKAAMTTGATAAAATACCAAAACTCCACAAGTTGGAGACATTTTTACATTATATATTGTAAATTTTTATGAATTTTTCAAGCCTCTTCGAAGTCGAGTWATTTGTAAGTCATATTTCATGATTATTACATTGAATCTACATGTACAAAATAAAATATTTTTGTAAATTAAGAGAGTGGTGTGTTAGTGAGCATGCGTTCTGGAAACATTGGGAAAACCCCAAAGATCTGAATTCATATATCAGAGGCTTGTAAAAGAAATATAATATAATCTTAGAAAATATATAATTTCATCTAAAAGAAATGTTCATACGCTTTTCAAATAGAATTTCAAAACCATATGCTTTGAATCACACTAAGTGTAAATATCGATCAATATTAAAAAAACGCTTTTTCATGTTTAAAATTAAATGACATAATTTCACTCTTGGGTTTATTTGTAGTTTAAAATGGACACTTTCTAGAGCTCGTATGGTACTATATATTAGTTCATTTTATCGTTTGTCACATCTAAATTATTTTTTCTTGTTTTCATCTCCTGCGAGTAGCATAATGACGCTAAATTAGAAAAACAAGCACGGCTAGATTAGAGAAATATAGCTGGTAGTCTAAAATCTTTTTTTTTTGAAATCTGTATTTAGCGGACGGAAACATCGTGGGGCCTTGGAAAGGAAACAAATTACATTTAATGCCGAAAGATGGACCTAAAAAGAGTATACAAACACAATATATGCATAAAACAAATATCGGTATGGAAATTCATTCTGATAAATTAAAGCTGTTATTGTTAAAAACAACGATATTTAACATGCGACACGTCCAAGCGTTCTTGAGCGGACATCACATATCTCTAGCGACATAATTTCACGTCCGAAAAATGTCCAATTTGAKTCGATGTAAATTTATGAACAGAGTCYRTGTGCRTTTTCTTCTTGGTCAATAYGAATTTCATGGCTTGAAACAACTTTCACGACCCTCTTAAAAAGGTGTCCAATTTAGACCGACAACAAACGTATGCAAATATGACTTTTTAATTACAGCAAGAAACAACACAATTCCGTCAGTGATGGCTCTACTCCAGTGTTATGRCAGTTTCGTGTTGGTTATATTCTTTTTATTAGAACTTAGATTCAACAGTCGTTATAAGCCAGAAACATGAACGCGGCAGTCAGTGACATTTTTATAAGCGCTCTAAGTGGTTGAGCAGTGACTGTAAAGGCTTTTCATTCTACACGTCTCCTTGTTATTTATTATACTGACATGGCACGACAAAATGTCCCTTAATTCATAAATCAGATTTGCAAGCATTGGAATAGGATGGTTGTCACCATGATAAAACACAATCTAGCGTAGAGTGATTTTCGTTATCCCGTGAAACGAATTGCAATATAAAGTGTGGTGATCCATACAAAAGAAAAACAACAAACAAACAAAAACAAAAACAACAAGCAAACAAAGAAATTGTCAGTCTTCATCATGTTTTGTTTTCTTCTTATTTCGCCGGGATATCGCGGCCATTTTTGCACATTTACAAAAATAAAGTTTTAATTTGTTTTACGGGTCATTTGCAAATCACTCCAAATTATAAGAGCATTAGACTGGTTTTCATAAAGCCGTGAAATAGTGAATTTTTACGGCGAACTACACTATTCATTTTGCACACTTTTCTTGTCTTTTCAAACAATGACATTTTGCCATAATACATAATGACACTTGTCATATAATTATCTATGAAATACCTATATTTCTCCATTACGTAAAATTGATATTTTCACTAGTGAAAATAACACATTCGASGTTTCTCTATATAGTGGAAGTAAGAAAATAGATATTTTCCGACATAATTTGCTTTCATATTTAATCATATGATAAACAGAATATTACATGGTCGCTTTGAGATACGAATTTTATCTTCTCGTGTTGAAAATCTCTCACTCGTTCGCTACGCTCACTCGTGAGAGATCTTTTCAACACTCGAAGATAAAATCCGTATCTCCGCGCGCCCATGCAATATCCTCTATTTGTCATACGTTGTTTCACGTGTCTATCCACTTGAAACGCGTGAAATATAAGTTATATTTAGAGTTGTCAAAGTCAAATAGACGCCAATAGAAAATATTGGAACCATGACGGAATACTTATAAGTTTTAATTAGAAACTAATTTCTAGAGTGAAGTCAAAATAGATATTACACTATACAAGTTAGTATTGCATTGTTTTCTTTTGTGTCTATTTGACTTTATCTTATAATTATCTATGAAATACCTATATATTTCTCCATTTCGTAAAGTTAATGTGAAAATAACACATTTGAGGTTTCTCTATATAGTGGTAAGCAAGAAAAAAGGTATTTTACGACATAATTTGCTTTCATATACAATTATATGATAAATAGAATATTACATGGTCGCTTGTGGATACGAATTTTATCTTCTCGTGTTGAAAATCTTCTCGTGTTGAAGATATTTTCAACACTCGAAGATAAAATCCGTATCTCCGCGCGCCCATGTAATATCCTCTATATCACTCTTTGATAGTTAAGTTTTGTTTCACGGGTCTAATGACTTCACTCTATTTCACKGATTATTGCATTCACTAGTCTTCTTGCGCACACGTATGACTGTGTAAACCATGTGAAAAAGATGAACAAAGATGTGGCTGCCATGTTGGATAAAATAAAAAAAAGAGATGACTAAGTTATTTTCATTCAACATGGCGGCAATGACAAACACGCCACCTGAGAATCACTCCATATTTCACGATTCTAAACCCATTTCATTTTATTTTGCTGYTGTTTTTGTTTCACGGATTGTCATAAAGCGTYRGYG